CACTAACCTCACCAGGATAATCATTATACTTCAGCATCAAAGGTGAGCATGTGACTACTCCTCAATGTAATTTATCGAGACAACTTTCTTTGTTCTTTTGCTTATCATCAAAAAATTGTTTAAAGTAAAACTTCATGGCAGAATTGGAATAGTTAACCCTGTGAAAGTGGCATTCGTTGCCCATCGACACACCTCAACATCACTTAATCTTTGCTTGGTTCCATCAGACTGCTGACGGTAAAGTTCTCTGCTTATTCAAAAGGTTTGAAAAAATCAGTCTTTTTATTTAGAGAAAACCTAGAGATATGATTATTCTCAAAATATAGTGTCTACATTTTCAAATAGTCTGTGAAACCATAATCGAAATTAAGAAAGAAAATGTGCTAAAATTGAAATGCTTTTCACTCAGAAAGTTATTTTTCATTATGACAGACAATGAATAACTATGAAGTGATACACTATGGACGCAGTGATCAAATCCTCTTCCTTCGTGCTGGTATGTAATTGTATCATTGTGAATTGCAGCTATGTCACAGCAGCATCAGATGCATTGATGGTGTACTGCTCCCCCATCCCCCGGGAAAAACCTAAATCATTAAGCCTCCAACTGCTCTCTGTTTGTAACGTATGCACAAATTTCCACCTACATTTCCTTAAACTTAAAGTGAAGTGGTATTCACGAGTCTTGTCTGCATTGGCAATATTTATCAAATCCATTTGATCATTGTGTGCCCCGAAATAGTTGTCTTTGTGGGAGGTGAGCAATTTTACATTTGTCTTAAAATTGAACTATGATCAAAGTTTTTAATGACTTGCTAAAAAGGCAACAGAATAAATCAAAATACTTGCCCTTTCAATTACACCCTCTTTAAAAGAATTTGGTCCAATCGGACAGGTGCATTTCTTCTGAATATATGTAAGCTTTTCTTTTGTTTGTTTTTAAAATTAAGCTGTCGCTTTTTTCTTACGAAGATGGCGGAAGACTTTTGGCTTTGAGACTAGCTTCCTTGTTGGGTAAAGCGCCAAGAGGCCAGGTACATTCACTGACCGATGAGGCTCGTTATCACCATGGTAACACCAAGGCAAAGGCTTGCAGAGTGGATTCAGTGGTATGTACGTTTTATATTGCTCAAGTACTAAGGGGTTTTGGGCAGAGTGAAAACAATAAATTTCACAATCCTTGGGATTCCCTTTACCCTCAGTGGCCGCTTTTTGGATGGCTCGAGGGTCATTCTTGAAGGCACTTTGAGTTTTATCTCGTAACATGTGATAACTGTTCACGAGTTAAATCCATTCATTTAGACACGATATCAGCAAAAAGGTAGCACAAAATCAATTCTTTCTTGGACAAATTGAAATGTCAAAAAAAATCCCCCCTTAAGAAAAGGAATGAGCATACTTAATAGCTTGCAGGAGTATTGAGCCTCCTCTATACATTGAAAAGTAACTTCTTATAGTTCCATATTGTTGTAATGAATTGTTCTTTTCATTTTTGATACATGTATCTGGTCAGTCCAGGTGCGCCAACCGAAGAAAAGGCGTGGATGCTTCGCAGTGGGTTGAGCATGTGCTGGATGATGATTATCACCGATGATGTCTCCATGGCAACACACACCAAGCAACAGCGTCTACTTTTGAGGAACGCAAGGCTGCTTGATTGCAATTCTTTGGGGAGGGCTGTGGGTCTTAATTTACTTTCTTATTCTCTGAGTAAAAAAAAATGCTGATTAGTTTTGATTATCAGGTCAATAGAGGGGGCTACTGAATTTTTTAACAAAATTGTTACATTTTCCTTGAGGGCGCCATACTCAAATTGCACCCTGTTCAATGGAACCACGGGGGCGCTGTTGCCAATAAGTTGACGTTGGCAACTACAAGCCCACAGAGGGCGCTATATAAAATTTGCCACCTCACTATTTCAGTCTATAGAGGGCGCCACTCACTTCGCCAACAGAGGGCGGTAAATATTGGTAAATGTTGTGGCGGCATGCCCAAAATGGGAAAGCGGGACACCATAAAAATTAAGGTCATCATGGTCATGAAGGCTGGAAAACATTTGTTGCCATGAAGGTATGTTAAGCCCCATAATTGTAAATCCAGAAAAAAGTTACTTACGGGATCATGCAAAGACATTCCTCTCATGTTGTTCCATGTTGTATCGTACACGTGAGATGAAGTTGCAGTTTTCTTGGACGGGTTTCGAGGTACTGTACGTGTGGCCTTACTCTTGTAGTAGTATATGTAGTACATGTATGCATGATGCAGTGACATGAAGGCCCAGCATGCATGGCCTAATCTGTTTCCTTGTGCTCTAACATAATGGTTATGGTATATGTGTAAATATATGTAGCCGACATACATGTACATGTGTATGTACGTTATCTTGTGTGACTTGCTGCAATTTTTGTTTGCACACATGTATGATGTAGGGTTGTAATGCTCAGTTCCTTGGTGCTCATTTTCAATGCGCTGCTGAACCACGTACATGTAGCTTGTCCATACATAAAGACCAGTGAAAAATTGGTGTTCATTTCTAGTTTTTCTACCATATCCCAGAATTGCATCAAACATTTGCTTCCTCAATTGAGCATAATGAACTGCACATTCCTTTTGAAAAATCTTTGTAAGTTGGCAAAATTCATTGATTTAACTCTGTCATGTTGTAGTTCAACATTAGAGTTTCGTCTTGTTTTGTTGTAATTTTACGTGTAAATTCACCGTTTATGCTCTCTTTCTGCTCAACTTCCCAACTTCAACCAGCCGTAACTCAGGCTAGTGTCACCATTTGTTCTTCTCAAATGCAGGGTAGTTTCTTCTATTCATTAGCTAACTGACCATGTAAAAATTATTTTAATTGGCCACTTTTTCACCCTGTCTATGGAAACACAGTTTTGCTTCCAATGAAATTACAGTTTAGATTGTGGAAGTGTACGTGTGCATGGCGTACGTATACCGCATGTGCATGCACGTGGTCGCCACGTTGCATTGAGACAGGATTTGCGAGTGCATGGGAATAATTCTGGTAGTACATGTAACACATGTAAATCCTCTTTTATGATCACTGTGCTTTTTCAACAACCATATATTCCTAAGAATCACTGCTTTTACAATGAAGTTGGAAGGAACAAAAAAAAAAGGAACATGGATTTTGAAGTCTTGTGCCTGTTGCTGCATGTAACACATTGCACAATACTGTCTGCCCTGGTATTGTCCGTTTTGTCCACAGTGGGTTTGGGCCCTTTGGGCAGTTCTGTTTACACAAGGCTCAAGGCTGAAGATCAAAAGATTAGCGAACAGTAGTTTTTGGAGGAGCGCTTTCTGTATTGCAAGGAATTGATATGATCGATCAGTTTCAGTTTACTTTCTTGAATCTAGTCTTTGCTTAATTTGATTCATGCTTATGACAGTACCGTACCGATGACCCTTATTCTGCTTTTTCAATCAGATTTTCCCTTGAGAGCAACCGTGATCATAATTATTTTTATCTTTATAGTACCTCTAGAAAACAGTGTACCTTTAAGTTAGCGCTGGCCTTCAGACTATATTTTAGGAGTATAATACCCGGGACATATGTACACTAGGTAGTATTTTGAAAAATCAGAGGTGTTGCTCATCAATCGTCCATTTTTTTCCCGCACCATAGGCCACTGTGAGTTCCACATGCTTTGGTTTGACAGGTTTGGGTTGTTCAACCTGCACAGCGCATGCCGCCTGCCCTGCTGGTGTCAGTCCAGTCACACAGACATGACAGAGTCTACATGTTATGCATGTACATGTAGGTTGCTCGTGTGATAAAAACAGGATTTCACCAAAAATTGTTGAACCGACTGGTCAAGCGTTTCCTAAGTGAATACCTCACATTTTTCACTGCTAAATTAGACTTGATAAGACTTACATTGTACATGTGTGTAATTGTTTAATGCTTTCAGATGGTAGTACTCATAACATTAGGTCACTGCTGGGAAAAATGATCGGCATCACCATAAGAAATTTAATGCTTTCCTTTATGTACATTTTTATGTTGACTGACATTGAGGCTATCAAGTTGTCCTTCCATTGCAAAAATTGCAGCAATATTTTTTGGACATAAACTGAAAGGAAGTACAGTGTAGTCTGGAATTACAATAGTCTTTATAGAGGGCCTGTGTATGACGTCATGTTAGAGGGCATTTCTTTCTTCCTCTAGGATAGGTTCAAGTAAACCTTTTGTGCATTCATTATCATTAAATCTAAATAGCAAAACACGTCCTCTGGGAGGGCGCTCCACACAGGCCCTCTGTAGGCCAAGTTGCTTACATTAACATTGTAGTAGAGTCCCCTAACATGGCGCGCTTGATTTTCACGTGACTTCCTCATACAGTGTTGCCGGACTTCTTGTGAAAAAAATCCTCAACTTCACACTAGCACTGTAACCTTCACGCTCGCTGTTCAACATTTGTGAACCTTTTCAGAGTGATGAAATTTTGTCCGTTGAAAATTCGAAAACGTTGGCATCTTGGAACTGGGCAAGAAGTCCACTGAATGTTGCCTCATGTGCTGCACTTGAGAACATCTCCACAAATCCCACGTAATTTAAGAAGTTTGTGGAGCTGATCAATTTCAATACATTTTTATTACCTCAATTAACATACTGACACAACAATTCTTTGGAAAATTATTTTTACATTTTTGGGGCCATTTTTAAAAGAGTCCATTTTGCCTTTTTCAGAAAAAATTTTTTAAAAATTGAGCCAAAATAAATGGAACATTGTAGTGGGTGAGTAAAATCAGGAGCTTTGAATTAGAAAAGTGGCAGTCTGAAATTTCACTCATGAAATTTGAGGTAAAAATATTACTCCTGCAAGGCACTGGATGAAAAAAATCTAACTGCGCCTGCGTTATGGGCTTATAAGTGAAGGATGTTGTGTAACAACAGCAAAAGCTGAAGGATTCATTGTTTATTTTAATTGTAGGAGGAAGTCAGAGTAAGAGAAGATTATGGATCAACGAATGGCTGATGTTTGGCAGCATCACCAGAGAGAGCAGAACATGAGTAAGTTCCTTCCCAGCATCAGGTTATTCAAAGATGAGCTGGATTGAGAGCCTAAACTGTACAATGTATTCCTGCAAATTTACTTATCTTCTCCTTTTTTGTTAAATCTTAATGCCAGCCAACCCAGATCTTTCAAAATCCACCAGGTTTGTGGAAGATATAGCAGGATTGAGGGACGTAGAACCCAGCCCAGCCACTTTGATTTCACAAGAGACTTGATGCCTTTGTAGAATTTTGGAGAATGTACCATACTGGGGAGGATTTTTTAGGATTTGGGAAGATTCCCTGGAACCACAGTCCGTCTATGCTGCCCTTTTGTCCTGCTACTTGAATGATCTTTTATAATTGTTTTGTCTTGATCCCACTAGCTTGGATGAGTTCAGCCACATAGAGAATGATGAAGATGACTCTGACGTTAGCCGTAGCAGAGACAATAAGGTACGTGTACCTTGGCCAGAGACTATGTGTGAAAAGGTTCTGGATAACAGAAAAAAGTAACAGTTTGATACAAAAACTTATTGTTGTGTTTTCCAGTTTCAAAATTGGACAATATAATGGAAGTGTCCAGTCAGAGAAGATATTGAACCTTTTTTATGTCAGTGGGTAATTTCTTTGTTATCAGAGGAGAGAAGGAGGACGTCCAAATATTCCAAAGAAACAAAAAGAGAAAAGAAAATGTGGAGGAAATTTATTCCTTGTTTCAGTTTCGGGTTTTTTGTTGTTAATTCACCTGTCTCGTGTTTTCGCAACTGAAATCAACTAACAGAGTCAATGATGACATACATGTATGTCTTTTTATCCCCATTTTGTTCTTCTAAAGAAGCAAGCGCAGAAGAAACGCAAATTCCAGTGAGGACTCTGGTGACAGCAACCGTGACAGTGATGAGGAACAAGAACAGTGGATGGAGAAACCAGCAGGTAGAAAAGCTGTCACTTTTCAGTCATGTTTGCCGTCTGTTCAGAAATGAATTTTGCTGGTACGTTTGGCCATGGCATTTGCCAATGTCTAAAGGTTTGGATATGCTCTTAATAAAGACAGTGGATATTTAGCCATTACCGGCAAATTTAATTAAATTGTATTTTGCCAGCTACATGTAGACAGCGCCCTCTTTGAATGAGTAAGCCTATAAAAGTGATTAAATTCACACTATATTCCCAGTTCAATTGGTGGTCGAATGGATGGCGTGCACATCTTGAGATGGCTTGATATGCTCTTATGTGGTCAATCCACAGCTGTCATCCGTTATTTTTCCCAAACAACTAAGAATTTTCTTCTCTTGCTCTTGTCAATTGACTTCACCGTTTAATTTAAGAGTATAACATCCTCCTTCTGATTCATGGCTCTGGAGGATTTCTCTTTTAGAAAAGAAGTAAGAAATTGTAAAAACGCCTGATTCCCACTTTGTGAATACAAAGTCACAATGACTATGTTGGCACAGACCCAGACTAAAGATTTGTCAGGGTAAACCAGTTTACTGCACATGTTCCTGGTGAAATATCGTTTATTTGCCAGCAATGGCTGAATACCCACTGCCTTTTATACAAGAGCCTGTTCACTTGAAGAAATCCCAAATCACATAGCTGCCATTTTTGTGACGTACGTGAGAAGAACAGAAAGCAGTCACTTGGTACCATTTTCTGTTCATACATTTCTCGACTGATTTGAGGTAGTCCTTGACGGTTAGATACACCTTGTCCTTGGCTTTGAGATAGCCTTTGTCCAAATCCACTGGCTTAAGCTGAAAGTAGTACATTACAGCAGCTGCTCACTTGTGGCTTACCTATCGAGTTACTTCAAGCCTTAGTCATAGCTTTTGGACCTTGCCTTAAACCCACAACTCTTTTGGAGCATTTTTGAAAAAGTAGCGTTTGCCAATGCAGACTGGCATACGTGTAACTACTACCTTCTCTTTTTTTACTCTTTGAATTTTAACCAGGTGTTCAAGGGGACAGCACCATGGTTGGTCCCCCTCCTGTGGGCTCATCTTCTGGCATCACTGCCGTGATAGACTAAGGCGATAACAGCGTGGTCGGTCCCCTTCCTGTGAGCTCATCTTCTGGCATCACCACCTTGACACAGTAAGCCATCTCTCTTGTTTCTTTTTTCACTTAAGTACAGGATTAGTAATCAGGATTTTGGTGTTCACAACAGTTTACCTAATGCCCATCAGTCCCTGTACCAATGAGAACCCACCCAGCCAATAACTACGTGCACTGCGGAGTGCTTTATGCTTTCTGATATTTTGCAGTGACTATTTCTGAAACTAATGGGTGCAAGGGTGGATCCTGAGTCATGGGGGCAGTGGGGGCTTTGTTCCTTGTCCAAAAAGAGCATCAGTGTAAGATTTCAGAAATTGAAGGGAATTTGGTGGGCTTGCAAAAGTGTTTCGAAAGCCCTAAAGTTTAGCAATAGGTGCCCCCCCAAGAAAGTAGCTCTGGATCTGCCCTTTAGTTGAAACCTTCAATCATTTTCTTTTGATTTAAAAAAAACAGCAAAAGGTCAAATTTACTTGACATTTTTGGTGATTTTTTTTCTGTGTTTAGATTTGGGCAGACCTCCTTGCAATCGCTGCCTACGTTGAGGCTGGCTAACTTTTCCTGCGTACGGTGCAACTGGACTGACCAGCGATGAAATCTCCAATGTTGAAGACACAGGCCTTACATTGTGAACAGTAGCAGGTAAGAGTGTCATGTGATTGATGTCGGCTTTCGGCCCGTAAACAATGAATGTAAACCTCACAAAAAAAAGGAACAACTGCTTTGGGAGACCCTCCATTTAAAGGTCAGTCCATCATTTGCCCTTTGTGGATTATGTTTCTTTGAGGCAACAAAATTACTTGAAGTCTAAAGAAGGTTGCCTGAGAATCAACTTGATGAAGTTTAATCTCAGTGAATACTATTATTCTGAGAAAAACAATGTTTTTAGGATTTCTAATTCAGCTCAAAATTTGCTGAGTCATGTTTGAATTGCGCCTGAATTCAGCATGTAGGACACGTTCTTATGTTTAGTCAAATGCAGCCTTGCAATGTCTCATGCTGAACCAATAAATTATGTCATGTAGAAACTGTGCATGCATCGTGTCACAACGCTTGCATGCGTGCTTCTAATAGCAACTATCCAAATCTTTATCACATCATTGGTAATGGCCTCCTTTCACAGTTTTCTTCAAAGTGACAGCTTGCAAGAAAAATGAATTTCACTGGGAGTTTAGCTCCATAACCATCTTTAAACAAAGTTTACTTTTCAACAATAATTTTATCCGTTACTTTTTTGGATAAATGCAAATGATGGGCTATACCTTTGATATTTAGAATCCAACAGAAATTAATCAAGTCAGATTCAACCAGTGTTTCCTTCTAGATGTTTTGAAACCTCAGTTGTTACAGTAGCCCCACTATTGATAAAGATGTGGTCATTTGAATACAAAAGGACAGAGATTCTGTTCATGAACTGATAGACCTATCCATCTTGAGCAGAAGCACCCCTTCATTGGCTGAAAAAAGCCATTTTAGTGGGGAGTTTTCATTTTGTTTGTAAGAATGCATTTGCCATGTGTGCAAATTTCATTATTTGTGAACCAGTGAAGTGCAGTTCCCACAAAAGGAGCCTGCTTTGCCAGGAAAATTGTGCCCTTTCTTAGTCCGGCTCAGACCTCATACTCATAAAGGAAGGTTAGTTTTTTTTTCTGAAACGTCTGTTTTAGTTGCAGCTAAGCTCATTCTTTTGTGCTTGATTTTTTCCCCAGACTTTGTTATACAGAAGCTGTGCATATGCCCAAGGAAGACCAGACCATGGTGCAGATTAGAAGAGCGCCCTCGCCTCCTTCAACCTTTTGGAGGCAAGATGGAGGACAAGATCCTATAGGGCTTCCCTGAGATGATTCATGAGAATATCAAGGAGAGGAACTCGGATAAATGCCAATCCTCACCTCCGTCACTGAGGAA